TGTCCCAGTACTGTCTCACTTTGTCCCAGTACTGTCTCACTTTGTCCTAGTACTGTCTCACTTTGTCCTAGTACTGTCTCACTTTGTCTGTTTTGTCTCCATTGGTCTCAGTTTTGTCTCAGTTTCTTTTGTTTTTGTCCCCATAGTTCTTTTGCTTATGAGACTAGTTGGACAGAATCGTGAGCCTGTCTCAAAACATCCTGAGAAGACTGTCTGAAATCTTGACGGAGAACTGCTGTTCAGAACCACTCACAGATCACAGGAAACATAGACTGGACTAGGACTGGATCTCTGAGTTCTGAACCTGACCCTCTTTAGGACCTGGAGCCGCTCTGGACTCCCCCTGATGGGTGGTGCTCCTTTTGTTTTTGACAAGGGTTTCCCTGGGTCTGGCACCGGCTTCAGATTCCTGGGCAATCCTTCCATGGAAACACCCTTCAGCCAGGCTTCCACAACAACCCCCCCATCCTTCCAGAGCTCAGTCCAAGCCCGGTCTGGGCCACCAGCTCATTAACTCTGGTGGCTCCCGGTGGATTTCCTCTGCAGCTGCTCTCTGTAAACAGGAAAACAGATCTAGACGTCACATCTCAGGGGAGAAATCTCCCTGATTAGATCCAGAACCATGACGTTCTGTAAGAACGTGGCTGATAAATCCAGAGTTTGCTGCTGTGAAGTTTAGAACTTTGAACACACTGACGTCTCTGCAGACAGAAAAGGTGTATTCACTTAAAAGGGTGACGTTTTCTGAGCAGCAAGCTTCATTTGGGTTTCTGAGCGTCCACTCCACAAACGTGTCAGACAGGAAGTGATATTTCTGTACACACATTTTCATATTCCTGTGGGTGCGTGCGTGCGTGTGTGTGTTGCTGCTAGCTGTGACTCAGGCTGAAGGAAATCCCTGTTTCTCTTGGAGACAAACAGCCTCTGGTTTCCCGCCTCGATAACATCGGTTGGGTCTTCCCTTCTGGTTACAGCCAATCAGGAGTCAGAGATTTGCGCCCGGACTCAGTAACCGGAGTCGGCCATCAGTTTGTTCAGGAAGTGAGGCTGACCTTCACTCACCTGTCGGAGCGTCGGCATCAGAGGAGTCAGTCCTCACCTGTTTCCTCCATAAAGACCCAAAAATGTGAAGGACCGAAAACATCAAACAAACTCAGGGCAGTCGATAAAAGTTTGTCTGGACATAGGCCTAACGTTTTTCATTCATTCATTCAACCTTTATTTCTACAGGTTAATCCCATTGAGCCTCGAGGACTCATGTACAAGAGAAGAACTTTGTTCCACGTAGAAACGCTCATAAATCGAAACCTTCGGCTCATGCAGGACATGGTGCTGCGGCTGCTGGATTTTTGTTCAGGGGGGACTACAACTCTAAAAAAGTGCACATGCGCTTGCGCACACACACACAGATATATATCCATCCATCCATTTTCTTCCTCTTATCCGGGGTTGGGTTGCGGGGGTAGCAGCCTAAGTAGGGAGGCCCAGACTTCCCTCTCCCTAGCCACTTGGTCCAGCTCCTCCGGGGGAATCCCAAGGCGTTCCCAGACCAGCCGAGAAACATAGTCCCTCCGGCGTGTCCTGGGTCTTCCTCTGGGTCTCCTCCCGGTGGGACGTGTCCGGAACACCTCACCAGGGAGGCGTCCAGGAGGCTTCCTAAACAGATGCCCGAGCCACCTCAACTGACTCCTCTCAACGTGGAGAAGCAGCGGCTCTACTCTGAGTCCCTCCCGGATGACCGAGCTTCTCACCCTATCTCTAAGGGAGAGCCCAGACATCCTGTGGAGAAAACTCATTTCGGCCGCTTGTATCCGAGATCTTGTTCTTTCGGTCACAACCCAAAGCTCGTGACCATAGATGAGGGTCAGGACCTCCTCCCCGACTCGGAGAGGGCACTCTACCCTTTTCCAGCTCAAGACCATGGCCTCTGATTTGGAGGAACTGATCCTCATCCCGGCCGTGTCGCACTCGGCTGCGAACCGCTCCAGCGAAAGCTGTAGATCACGATCTGATGAAGTCAACAGGACCACATTATCTGCAAAAAGCAGAGACGTAATCCTAAGGCCACCAAAACAGATCCCCTCAACACCTTGGCTGCGCCTAGAATTTCTGTCCATAAAATTTATGAACAGAATCGGTGACAAAGGGCAACCTTGGAGGAGTCCAACTCTCACTGGGAACAAGTCTGACTTACTGCTGGCAATGTAGACCAGGCTCTGACACCGGTCATACAGGGACCTAACAGCCCGTATCAAAGGGCCTGGTACCCCATACTCCCAGAGTACACCCCCCCCCCCCCCACAGGGTCCCCTGAGGGATGCGGTCAAACACCTTCTCCAAGTCCATAAAGCGCATGTAGACTGGTTGGGCAAACTCCCACGCACCATCCAGGACCCTGCTGAGAGTGTAGAGCTGGTCCAGTGTTCCACGACCAGGACGAAAACCGCACTGCTCCTCCTGAATCCGAGGTTTGACATGCCAACAGACCCTCCTCTCCAGAACCCCCGAATAGACCTTACCAGGGAGTCTTAAGAGTGTGATCCCCCTGTAGTTGGAACACACTCTACAGTCCCCCTTTTTGAATAGGGGGACCACCACCCCGGTCTGCCAATCCAGGGGAACTACCCCTGATGTCCACGCAATATTGCAGAGTCACGTAAGCCAACACAACCCCACAACAACCAGAGCCTTAAGGAACTCCAGTCGAATCTCATCCACCCCTGGGGCCCTGCCACCGAGGAGCTTTTTAACCACCTCAGTGACCTCAGCACCAGAGACTGGAGGGCCTAACCCAAAGTCCCCAGGCTCCGCTTCCTCAGTGGAAAACGTGCCGGTGGGAATGAGGAGGTCTTCGAAGTATTCTGCCCATTGACCCACAACATCCCAAGTTGAGGTCAGCAGCACACCACCTCCACTATAAATAGTTTTGGTGGCATACTGCTTTACCCCCGAGACACTGGATGGTGGACCAGAATCGCTTCGAAGCCGTAAGGAAGTCATTCTCCATGGCCTCTCTGAACTCCTCCCACGCCCGAGTTTTTGCCTCAGCAACCACCCGAGCCGCATGTCACTTGGACTGCCAGTACCCATCAGCTGCTTCTGGGGTCCCACAGGCCAAAAAGGCCCGATAGGACTCCTTCTTCAGCCTGACAGCATCCCTCACTGACGGTGTCCACCACCGGGTTCGAGGATTACCGCCGCAACAGGCTCCAACAACCTTGCGACCACAGTTCCGATAAGACACCTCAACAATAGAGGCATGGAACATGGCTCACTCGGACTCGATGTCCCCCGCCTCCCCAGGAACGTGTTCGTAGCTCTCCTGAAGGTGGGAGTTAAAGCTCCGTCTCATGGGAGACTCTGCCAGACGTTCCCAGCAAACCCTCACAATACATTTGGGTCTGCCAGGTCTGACCAGCATATACATATACATGTCCTTCTCAAAAAATGAGCATATTGTGATAAAGGTCATTATTTTCCATAATGTAATGATAAAAATGAAACTTTCATATATTTCAGATTCATTGCACACCAACTGAAATATTTCAGGTCTTTAATTGTTTTAATACTGATGATTATGGCATACAGCTCATGAAAACCCAAAATGCCTGTCCCAAAAAATTAGCATAT